CCATCTAATTTGTTTGCAATAAATAATAACGATTAATAAAGTCTAATTTGGAGACTACAATAATGTTTATTGTCTCAATATATATTACTTTTTTTTTTTAATACCGAAACTTGATTAGTTATGGACAGAAAATTAATTTGAAATTTTGAAATAATTTGTTGGTTCTATAAAAAATTATTCTAAATTTAATAAACAATTAATGAAAAAAAGTTCCCCGTTACAATTTTTTGATTCGACATGTACCAAAAACATTTGCCAAATTTGTTCATTAATACGAATTCTTTTCATTTTGAAGGAATTATAACACAAATAAACCACTGCAGTAGCATACGGGAACTGTCACTTTCCTACTCGTTTCTCAACGACGAGCTGTTAAAAGCCCTCAGCGGCAACGACACACTCCATTTGGAAATTTTGAGAGTCGAGGCTTTTCCGGAGGCTAAATCAACAGCCAAAATCAGCAACGAAACCTGGTGCACGTTCACTAATCGGTTTCCCGGCATAAATCTTATATTGTAAGTGCGCATGTTCATCTCAAATATTTTACTAACAACCTGTAAAAAGCTAAACAGTTGATAATTGATAAAGGGATAAGGTACCAACGCAAAATATTATTGACGCTTAAAATATATACTTGTGCTACTTGGTAAAATGAGTCGTATACAATAGTATTACAAATATTTTAAAAAATTCAATTTTCCATGCAATTGGTCGTCAATTATAATTAAAATTAAATAAGTAATTGTTAAAACTGAATGATAATTTTTATCCTCAGTCACCCACCTAAAACCATACTTGTTGAAAAAAAAAAAAAAAAAAAAAATGCTCACAGATTGACATACATGACGGAGGAGGAAGATTACGAAGATCTACTTTCGGTGCACGTGCCGTTCACCCATTTGTACTTCAGCGAGTGCGTGCCATCCTCAGCTGTGGCACGAGTTGGTACCAGCTGTCCTAGACTCGTGGAACTCGTAGTGAGTGCCTACGGACCCGACACCATCGACGAGGTACTCATCGGCGCGGCCCATGGCTGTCCTAAGCTCAGCGCCGTTGGACTTGGTGACTGCGAGATCACGTAACAAAACATATTCTCAATTACTAACGTTTTTTTACAAGTTTTTTCCAAGTGCTTCTCAGGAAAGTGAAAGGTTTGTTGGTTTGAGATTGAGAGGACGAGCTAGCAATGATGAAGAATATAGAAATAGATTGCAAATACTGTGCATCTATATTTCTATCTACTTTATGTGTCCTTGTCTGCATCACTTTCTGACACAGTCTTGAATACAAATAATACTAATATTAATATACCAAAATGGATTGATTCCTGACTTTTAATTCAATTGAATCTTAAATTCAGATTTTATGTAATTTGTTGAATGTAATGTTATTTTAATTCGATTACTATTATGCTTTTTGTTAAGCTTCTGTACTATTTTTATTCCGTTTTACAATAATTTCGATTGCATTTGTAATTCATTCATTTTATTATTTTTTAATAATTCCCTTCATTTTCCTCAACAATTATTATATAATTTTCCCGAATGACGATTACTAGAAAGTCATTTTAATACTTTTTTAAATCAATTTTCGTCATATTAAAAAAAAAAAAGAAAAAAAAAAAAAATTGGCGTCAATAAAACATGTGCAAATTAGTTCGGAATAACTGGAATTTTTTACGAGATCCATCTCATAGTCAGAATAGCTAAATTAAAACGATATATTAGCAAATTGTAAATTTTGAAAAATGAAATAATTTGTAAACATGGTTTATTGCACTGTACAAAACCATATCGTAGATAAAAATTATCTTAAAAAAATGTATATAATCTTATTATGGTTCTTACAAACACAAATGTTAAAATAATTTTACAACATGAATATAGCAGCTTATTTCTCTATTTTATATTACTCTGATAGGCCAAGTTCTTTTTTTTATTAATGAAAAACATTTTTTTTAACAACTTTTAATTTGAAAAGTATCTAAAATGATTTAATAAATTATGGCTTAACATTTTTTATATTATNCATTTACAAACTTTTTTGTTTCTTTTTTTTCGTCAAACTAACAGAAGTGTTTTAATTACTAGTGGGTTGTTGCGAACAATGAAGTGCTCAGTCTTGTGCTACAGTGGCTGGTTACATTTCCCCCATCTTTTTGTATTTTTTAAGACTAATCCCTGTCATCCTGTATAAGTCCCTGTGTTTCTGAGCTCTGTATGTGCATGCTAACGAAAATTTTCTTTTATGGCACAGTCGTAAAGAAAATGTTATCATCCTCACAATAATAAAATTATGCGTTTCAGCGCTTGATATTGTAAAAAGTAATTTATGGATTTCAAGTACTTAAAAGTCTTTTCATGGAAGGTGAAAGCTGCCACTTTTCGAAACTCCGCTTTAAGCCAGCTCAGTTAAACTTTCCTGGAGGCTCATATTTGCTGATTGTATTATTTAAAGCAAACAAACAAGCATACGTTAGAGCTAAAAATTAGTGGTATTTATCCGCATCTTAATTTATTATTCAGAGAATGAATTTAACTGCCAACAACTTTTATGAACATCGTGCAAGTTTATAGCTTGGCCACTATGCTCCGGAAATAATAATTTACGAAGTTATCCAATAGAAAATCAAAACACGTCAGTAAATTGAAAGTTAATCAACAATCATCCCCAATTTATTGTTACCTTGCGGCTTAAACAATAAAAATGTAAACTTATACTTGCATGTTCGTAAAAAATTTTAGTTTTTTAACAAAAAAAAAGGAAGGAAAGAAGGATTGTATAGAAATATTGAGAGTAAAGTTCAAAATTAAAGAAAACAATAAGAGTATATTTTACTAATATTCTAAAATCGAGTGGCATTTTTTTGGGCTCTAAAAGGAGGTCCTCGTAACTCGAAAAGCCCATATTATCTGAATTCAAATTTGAAAACTAGAGCACTCAGAAATTCTCAGAAAAAAGGTTATGGATAATTTGAGTTACGAAATCGAATAATTTAATTTTAAAATATATTTTCATTTTTTTGGTATCACTTACAGTAGTTACAGACTTGTGATTTTTTAAAAAATGTAAATAGTTTTTGCGCAAAAAAAGTGGCAAAAATACGCATATATGTATGTTTAGCTATTTGTATACTCAGTTAGCAACAAAGACAATTTTCAATTTTGTAAAATTATTGAATTTTATTACTAAAAAATTTTTTTTTACCAAAAGTATACACGTTACAAAAAAAAAAAAAAAAAGACAACAACCTTCATTTGTTAAAAATGACGCCAACAGCTGAAGACAAACTACTATTATACGTCAAATGAATTTATTATATAACCGAAAACTACCTTTAATATTACTTCCCAGTGAAATTGTGAAACAAGTAGATCATCCGCATCAATACATGGTTCGTTACACGAAAACTTCAAAACGGACAAAATGTACTGCGTTAGCGTAAGAAGAAATTTAATTTCAAACTGTCATCTGTCACAACTAAAAAAAAATCAACTTTTCGTAGTGCACGAGAAGCTATGATAAGCTAATAATAACTTAATTGGTGAGAAATTGTAGCTAACTTAATAGCGATGCTGAATTACCATTACAGTATATATAGGCTTCAGAGTTCTGATTTTATTAAGAATTTTCTGAATTTTAATAAAAAGTCATGAAAATGACGATCGAACGAAGCTCAAAAGTTTTCAACGCATTTCAACACCCATGTACTTGGCTGAATGAAAAAAAAATTGTAAAAAAGTTACTTATATGCATCTAATTTACAGGAAATCCCATATCACGTATCGAAATACTGCTTTATTCGTAAGATAATCCATGTACCTATATGTGTACGGTTCATTTCATAGCGATGTCCCATATAGCCTCTATGTTTAAAAACGACAAATTAAATTAAAGTCAGAACCTTTTTTTCATTTTTCCTACGTTTATTTTCGAGATTGAGTCGAAATAATTTTTTAGCGTTACACGCAAAAAAACAAGCTAAAATGCCATTTTCCAATTTTGGACGTTTACTGTGCCACCAGGTACGAAATTTGAAAATTATATTTTGAACCTTCTACTGTGCTATGTGAAATAATTTGATCAATAAATTTTTTTTGATGGGCTGCAAATAAGTAAGCTTCAAATAATAAAAAAAAAAAAAAAAAAAACTGATAGATTTAATTTTATTTTCTCGTAATTTATGAAAATAGAAAAAAAAATTTTTAAATAGGTGGTTAACCCAATTAAGAAGCCAGTCAACTTTCGACACATTCAAGTTTAACGCAACAAATTATTTTATTTTGTGAAGTTAAAAAAATTCTGGGACACTTAGAATAGATCGTTTTGTATTCTAAATTGGACAAAGACTCCATCTTATGAGAACAGATTCTCCAAACTAATTTTCGTTGAAATTTTCAAAAAATTCCTCTTAAAAGCTTCAAAATGGCAAAATTAGTACCATTACAAGTCTGTCACTACCGTAACAGTTTTTTAGTTTCTGAAAATTTGCACTTAACACATAGGTAGTTTTTCGACAAGTTTCCAACTTATTTGGACGGCATATGTCTAGGGAAACATTATACAAAAAAATTCCAAACTCTACATTCAGGAAATTTTATTTTATACACCAAAATAACAGTTTTTGTAGATATGAAACGAAATCAATGTAAAGGCTTATTTTAATTAAGTACCGACTTGTAGTTTTATTTTATTGCTTGAAGTATTTTTGCGGTTGTAACTTAATAAGGAGTAACAATAATTATTGTAAAAAAATTGTTTAAGGATCAATAAATCTCTAAATAAAATCTAAAAAAAGTATAAATACGAGTTGTCATTCATAAATAAAAACAATTTTTCTGACTTTATACCAAAAAATATAAATTTTATTATTTTGTTTTATCACCTCTTCGAAATGCATGTAACATACTTTTTTGTATATAAAATAAAATTATGTCACTAAATAATTGTTATCAATCAACCATTGCACTACCTAGGTAGATATGTATAATAAATGTACAATTTTTTTTGTCAATAGAGTAATAATAGTTATCTTATACATTAGAACAATGTATGTATAGAGCATTTATCTATTTAAATATACAACTTTTCGTACCCAATAATATACCATTGAACTCACCCAGCATCTCTATGATCTTTATCAGCAACGTTTTAACAATCATTAGTTGGCTTTCTATATTTAAAAATTACTTTGCGCTTATTACATTTACAAACTTTTTTGTTTCTTTTTTTTCGTCAAACTAACAGAAGTGTTTTAATTACTAGTGGGTTGTTGCGAACAATGAAGTGCTCAGTCTTGTGCTACAGTGGCTGGTTACATTTCCCCCATCTTTTTGTATTTTTTAAGACTAATCCCTGTCATCCTGTATAAGTCCCTGTGTTTCTGAGCTCTGTATGTGCATGCTAACGAAAATTTTCTTTTATGGCACAGTCGTAAAGAAAATGTTATCATCCTCACAATAATAAAATTATGCGTTTCAGCGCTTGATATTGTAAAAAGTAATTTATGGATTTCAAGTACTTAAAAGTCTTTTCATGGAAGGTGAAAGCTGCCACTTTTCGAAACTCCGCTTTAAGCCAGCTCAGTTAAACTTTCCTGGAGGCTCATATTTGCTGATTGTATTATTTAAAGCAAACAAACAAGCATACGTTAGAGCTAAAAATTAGTGGTATTTATCCGCATCTTAATTTATTATTCAGAGAATGAATTTAACTGCCAACAACTTTTATGAACATCGTGCAAGTTTATAGCTTGGCCACTATGCTCCGGAAATAATAATTTACGAAGTTATCCAATAGAAAATCAAAACACGTCAGTAAATTAAATAAAAGTCATAATCTAAATAAATATAATAAATGTAAATGGAGATCTAAAACATGAAATTTCGTTATAATTAACATGAATAAAATTTTAAGTAATTTTTCCCTTAAAAAATCATCGCAATAGCGATGCAATGATTACAGTTTTTCCTCGATGTTCTCATTTACATATGATTTAAATTTTATTGTCAGAAACTTAAACGTTGTTAACTTTAATGTCATATCTCACATATTTACAGGTTTAAAGTATCACGTTGAATTTAGAATATTAGTTTCAAATATAACAGCAAGCAAAATTTCAAATTCACTTGAAAATATTGTGTGCAATTAGAAAAATCATTATACTTCTAACGATTGTATAAATTAATATTCCACACCTTTCCTACATCGTTACACTCTTTGTACAGATAAAAGTGCTTCTGCTCCTGAGGCAAGAAAAAAATGTATCAAATCGCATAAGGATAAATTTGCGACCAGAAGCTTTTACATGCGTTCTTGAGGATTGCATTACTTCTAATGCTTCAACAAGCAAATAGGATAACTTTTTATCCTTACAACTATCTAGAATCCATGATTTACACCCAAGGCAGTAAAAACTATTTTTGACATAATTGTTGCCTCTCGTGCAAAAATGACTGGCAATCTTGATCTGCAATCTTAACTTCAAGTCGTCGAATTCATTTCTTTTTGAAAGTTTGTTATGTCACACCTTTCGTTACTCATAGATCTTAGAAGTAACCACAGTAGAAAATTTATTTTGAGAACAAAATGTGTTCCCACAGATTATTCCATATAAATTTATTTGCACATATTTACAGCCAATGCAATCAATCTGGCATATCTATGGATATTATTGGCTCAACAGGCTTTGTTGAATCATTCTTCTTGAGGTTCTTTCCATTCTTCTCAAAAACAATGGATTCTGGTTGATCTTGAGCGCTTCTAGGTTGATACGAAATGTTCCCATATTCTTGTAAAATAGGGCACAGCCCTAAAAGAAAATGACAGAAATCTTTTCTGATTCCAAACCACCCTAAGTAAATAATGTGTAATAAATGTTACATGGTAGAATACTTAAAGCATGAAAAAAAGAAAGATTTTTTTCAAATTTACTTACATCTATTTCCTCCCTTAGCTCCAAAAGACATGCAAATAAGTGTGACGTGTGACAGTAATAGTGGTATCGCTATTGTCGTATACCTAACATTAAGGTCACCATCTAATTTGTTTGCTAGCATCACCTTTGAAAAACATTTGTCATCAGAATTAGTTTATTTTGAAAATAATTGCATTAAAGTTTTGAATAAAAAATGCATTGTTAATCTTACTTGAAATACTAATACTGGAACAACTAAAAACGTGTATGCTAAGGCCGAATTTAATGAGGTTCTCCTCTGTCTAGCATTGATTTGTGGTGTCCTCAATAAAACAGCAGCAAATACTATGGCATATAAGACTGCGACAAGGGACAAACACAAAAGAGCCCAAAGTGGAACAAACACCACTTCCCAACTCCATGAAACAAACTTATCTAATTTGAGGGCAAGAAAGATGAACTGCAAAACGTTGACTGCACAAAACAATTCAAGTTCGAATGACCTGTCATGTTTCACAGCCCAGATACATACCTAAAATGAATAATTCCAATGATTATCTTGCCTATAAATATAAGTATTTTCAGGAGACATTAATTTTTGTAATCTTTAGCTAATTCATCAATTAATGAGATTCATAACCATATTAACGAAAAAAGTACTCACTGCTATTGACACAATGGAGATAAAAATTAAAGGTATGAACACTAAAATCCACAAATGTCTCTTGGATTCCAATTGATCGCACACAAGCAATTCAAACATCAGTAAAATTAAGTGTAATGCAAGTGTAATAAGCATTGCTTTGTAGTGAACATATGCATCCCCTTCTAATCGAGAATGTGGATGCCTCCACCATATGTAACTGCCGACAGTAGCACCCAATATCACCATACTTTTCCAAAACCATAATGGGGTAAACACTGCCCAGTAGCTCCATTCTATGTAATTTTCAAGTCGAAGTGAAAACAAAACAGTAAACACCATCAAACATGAATAAACCAGGAACTTGCTAAAAAAATGTGAGAAATTTAATTTGTAAGTTACATTGTATTGTATGTGTACAAGAACAAACTATACTGTTTAATCAAACATGCTGTAAAAGGCATAAGGCATTTTCTATAAAACTTTTGTCGTGACTCGCGGACTCACGTATACGCGTCGTACTGTTCTCTCTCTCTACGTTTAAAAGAAACAAAAAAAAAAAAAAAACACCAGCGGGACGCAGGAGGGCGATTAAAACGAGCGAGCAAACGGACACGAGTTTGTAAAGGGGAAAAGAGGTGGCCTCGCGTTCGGGGAGTTTGGTTTGATCCCTGAGTTAACGAAGGTCCGACTCCCTATCGCGACTTGAAAAACAACGAGGGGGAGACAAAGGGGACGCAGCCCCTAAGCGGTGGCTAGTGGACGATTTGGCCGGGGCTCTGGAAACATTTAATCGATACCTACCGATTTTTTAGGGGGTCGACCATGAGTTTTTGGAAAATTTTATCGGTCAGGATACTTAAAAAAGTGGTTTGGATGGATGTTTTTGTGAGTTTGAATTGCTTGGGCGCGCATAAATAGACGCACAAAGTTTTTTTTCTCTACTCCTTTTCAGTGGTTGTCTACTGAATTTTTTCATGTTAAAGTATGATATAGCTGTTCAGCAAAAAAAAGTTTTCAAAACACGGAGTTTTCTTGAATTACCGATACATTGATACCACTACCTTCGCATGGGGTAAAAGAGATCGCTTTAATAAAAGTGCAACACTCAAATTACCAAACTGTACGTACATAATATACCAAAGAGCTGCTCTTCTGGTTTTTTTTTATTTATTTATTTTTTTTTTTTTTCATAAGTCTACTTGAGGGAAAAAGAAAAAAAGACAACAAACGGTCCGAGCGGCAAAAAAGTTAAGTTTGAATTATTACGCGCCCTAAAATTTTTGCCTACGCGTGCAGGTATTTGTTTATATGTTAATTCCCACGTACGTATATCACATGTGCGTTAGAAACGAGTAATTTAAGGTCGTGGATATTCTTTATGGCCTCCATCCCGCAAAGTATACGAGAGCATTAAGGATTATTATAGTCCTTTTTTTTTTTTTTTTGTATTTTGCGTACGAATATAAAACTTGAGTGCAACAATAGCGGCGTGAATCATGATTAAAAAGTAATGTCGCGTATAACATTTCATTACCACGCGTAGGTGAATGGGGGAGGGAGAAAGGGTGCAATTAGCGCAATTTTACGAGCGTAAACTTATCATCGCACGAATAAAATTCTGGGGCAGAGTATACATCCAGGACATGGTCGGACGAGTACGCTGTAATGGCAAAAGCGTTTATTAGCCCGTGTTTGTACTTTTTTTTTTTTTTTTTTCAAACGAAATGGGGGTACAGGATCAGGGAAATGCTTTTGTTGCTTTCCTTTCTTTTAGCAGATAAAAATTGGCGTTTGCATAAACTTCAGTGCGATATGAAGAAGATTTTTGTAAACATGTGTATTGACGGTTTCTAAAAATAACCCGACAGTATGGAGTTTTTTTTCGCATCAACTTTCTTTACACAACAATATAAGTAGATAAAAAAGTTTCTCTTTGGCGCATTTTGCATTTCCATGACGCGCTTTTACTGTGCACAGAGCACACTAAGAACAAGCACCTATGCTGTTCCAGTTTGAATTGTCTATAGCGCTTGTGTCGCATCGGTACTCGGGAAAAAACCAAAGACGAAAAATGCGTGGCGTTGACATCTAAAATTCTGTCTAAATGATTTCAAAATCAACATTGAAGTGATTAAAAAATACACGTTGAAATCATAATCTTTATTAAAATTCAGAGCCTCGACAGTAGGTACATCCATCGTCGCACCTAACGTAACCGCACGCATAAAATAAAAGAGTGGGAAAGAATGGCATTCCGGTATTTGCAGAGTCCACTCGCTCGGTTCTCTCTCGGCAAAGTTGTACTACATCGTAGATACTAAGTAGGTATACACGCAACGCTCCCTCATTCACTCAGGAGAGGAGAACGCGTGCCGCGCTGCCGCGTCAATGACGTCGTGGCTTCCCTCCCCCTTTGCTCCACATCTTTCCACGTGTATACCAGTCGGTGGTTCCTGTGGTCGCAGTCAATGAAAAAGAGGAGCGAAAGCTCAACGCACCAGCGGCGGTCGGAGGTCGTGTGCGCCTTTCCCCTCCTCTCAATTCCCTCCACTTTATTTCGTATACGTGCAAAAGTACATATATATGCTGCACGTGGACGCGGGTATTGCGTAATTCTCTCTCTCGAGTCTCGTAAACACGCATGTAATCGCGTGGGGGGATAAACAGCGGGTTACAGTGACGAGGCGTATATATATAGTTGAAGGAGCGAATGAGAACTTTATGTCATCAGTGGGCACTTGGTGGTCATAAATATGGACATTCTTGTAACGGGGGATCTATAATTTTTTCAATTTACTGGAAAACAAAAGGTCTGAAGAAAAATCACCATACGACGTACAAATATTGTATTATTTCTTTTAAAACGACTCGAGCAAAAGAGTATTTTCCCGGCTCGTAGCTGAGCACACATGTCACATGTCCACCGCGTTCGCCCAACTCCGCAGTCCTGTGTACACAGAGCTCCTGAAAAAAAAAAAAAAAAAAAAAAGTCCCCCAAAATTTAGAGCCCCTCGTACAGACGTACAAAAATACAAAGCGCCCACCCAAGCTGAGCGCATATTAATCTGCTCAACAATATATAAGACCCCCCTGTCGCACGCGAAACTAAATCTCCCCCTTCCAAAGTATATAGATTCGTCCTTCCGCTCGGCTAGATCATCATCGTCATCTCGTGCGTATTCTCTCTAGTTGACAATAAAAAAAAAAAAAAAAAAAATTACTTACTTTCCGAGTACCAATCGCAGTATTCGATTGAAAAACCATGTTTTACTCGTCGTAAATCTCAATTAAAGTGTGTATAGTCATCCCACGCTATGAGCTGGTGGCTTCTATGCTTCACNACATAATAGTTTACATTAAAAATAGGAATTTTTTTTAGTCACACATCGCTTTAGTGATAAATTTTCCCTAGTACAGTGATAATTACGAAACAATAGTAGTCTCTGCAACAAAGACTACAGGATTTATCCTCCTTTTTTTTTTCTTTTGTTTTTTTTTTTTTTTATCAAACCAACAAATTTTGTAATAAATGCCTTATAGATAACCGTTATATGGTGAAATATTACAATATTGCCATTACTATAAAGAATGTCCATTGACAATTTACAACTAAACAAGTGTGCAACAAATGCAGTTACTTTTACATCCTAAGTGATGCCTACACTTAAAGAAAGTACGTTGCCTATCGCTCAAAACACAGTGATTATAGAGGGGAAAAAAAAACACTTTAATGTGAGTCACACCTTTCTCAATATGAAATTTTTTTGTTGACTTTCATTTCACAATCCTTAAATACTCGCGACACACACTTGATAAAGACATAGTAGTAGTAATACTGGTGAATAATATGGCTCTGTAAACGCATTTGTTTCTTTTTTTTTGCTTTTGTCATCATAGAGCGTTTAGCAGCGCGGAAAAGAGGTACGTAATCGTCATTACAATGTTATCAGTACAATTATACCTATATAAAAAATCCCAAAAGCGACTTTTTAAAAAACATTTATTGAATTTTCATTTACTTTTTAACTGTCACTAAATGTCGAGAAATTAATCGACTGCGTCGACGTCTACATGATAATTATATACGGATGCCCGGCATGGGTGACTTTGTTGCCCTACGTATAAAAATCGTTTTAGCGTCAAGTGACTAACAATCAAGTTGGTACTACCTACTATGAAGATAGTTTATTGCGATATTTTTTAAAGAGATTCCAAAGCTACGTTATTACTATTGATTACTATAGTATGCTATACTTCCTAGTCACAGTATGCAATTGCGATACAACTGTTTACTTGCAGTGTGATTACGTAGAAATATTTCGTAGATCATACAATAGATCTGATTATACTCTTTGCTCAAACCTCATGCACACGCACGTAATAATAATAAATAGTAATAATCATTAAGCGTACAAGAAAATGTCCAACTTGTATTGCAAGCTAATAATTGAATTATGATTATACGTTACATTTTATCATAATCTCCGTCATACTACGCTGTAAAAACTTAAATTACCGAGATAATTGATACATTTTTCTACTTTTCAAATGCGCTAATGCTAATATCAAATTTCGAGTGTAAAATTTTTCCAAAGCTTGATTGTTTATAAAATTTTTAAACGCTCAAGTGATTTATACTCGAAATAACGACTGTTACTTTTTATTTTTGTTATTTTTTTTTAGCTCAGCAACATTGTAAATGTCAATTGAATTGCTTATACCGTGTACATCAGATGTGTTATCACCCACAGGCATGTATGTATTTTCGAATAGTTTTAGAATCCCTTTAAAAATTGTTCCATTGCCAAATGTCTACGTTTACTTGTATGCCTGAAAATTTTAATTTGTTTTTTCCATTAATTTTTATTTGATTACTTTGCAAAACAGATCGCGATCTCGTCTGCCAGCAGCGAAGTCTAAGAGGTTTTTCTTAAAGCTTGTGCAGCTTTAACGACCAAAGAGCTTATTATTACAATTAGATTTTTATTGATTATTATTATTATTGTTATTATTCGTAATTCGATTTTTTTATACTTTGTTTTCTCGTTTTTTTTTTTCTTCTTACAGCGAAAAAAATAGAAAAAAAGTCATCTTGTTTGTCCTAAAAACTAAAGTCGACTTGGCGCCACACGTGTTTGTGAAAAAAAGCGGTCAATATTACTTATTTACGTTTGTAACATTAACATAAAAATACGCCATTGAAATTATCGAGTCGATAAACCAAAGTACGTCAAATAGGTTTTCAGTTCGTGTTTTGTTATCATGCAAATATCTCAGTTTGACATTAGATTCAGTCTGAATAGTCACCCTCATAAGGCTTACAAATTTTTTTTCATCAGTTTATTTGCAATTTTCAAGTGAAAGTTATGTTTCGAAAGTTCAATAAACACAAAAATCAAATTGTATACCAACTCTTGACACCAGATAACAAAAAAATAGTCAATTCGTCAAAAGACTGCATTCATACTGCAACAGTGTCCGTGACAACCCACCGTTTCATCACCACCCCAGACCTTTGCACTCCCTCCAATAATAATCGAATGACCCTTTTTGGTAATTTTCTAAAAATTTATTCCACATGGCCATCACATAACGCATTACTTTTGATCAAATTCTCACCACAAAGGTGTTATCACTACTTCGATGCGAAGCGTTTTTCTATCACTCGTGCTTCTAATCTTTAAATTTTTTTGCGTCGTCTTACACATATGTACAAACAACGTATAATAACTCACGATACAGATACGAACATATTGTATTATATTCCTCATTTGGGTAAAAAAAACAAATCGGTTTCCTTATTAGTATCCTACAGGTAAAACTGCCCACGCGTGTATTTCTTTCTGCTACTCGTTCTGCATTGGGAATGCAGTTTATCAATCGCGAGGAAACAAAGGTTCCTGTGATTGTTATCACATTTCAATTTTTCAGCAAAGTACAACTGAAAACGCAAATTTTCACTCTTATATTCCGGCAAAGCTGCAAATTAAATTTTCCATACGACGTTTGTTTTCAACAATTACAAAAAAAAAAAAATCAAACATTTTTAATATCTGACTCAGAGACGACTTATCACGCAATACGTAAAACTTACTTTGCAGAGCGACTTTTAAAGCGAGGGGCCAGCGAGAATAATGAGTGCAACGAGACCTCCGTGGGGTCTATCAGTCTTAATTAATGGATTTAAAACAAAGTTGCGTATACAACGTATACAATAGTCTTTCGTCATGATGAAAAAAAAAAAAAAAAAAAAGATTAAAATTAATATTATAAGGTAGCAAAAAGCAGGGGAATAACACGCGAATAGGCAGTCAACCTTGCACGCTGCTGTCACGGCCGCAACATTGTACGCTTGGGCGAATCCTCGTTGTATGTACACCTACGGAACGACTCCGGACGTCAAAGCAAACATTGGAGAAAAGATCCTCCGCTTTGCAGACTCCTTTTTACGCATGTCACGGCTCAACTCGTTAAGCCGCTAAGATTATAGACAACCTTAGGAGAAATAAATACTTTGGAACAGACTAATTACAAACATACATTTGTAATAACAAAAGTAACTAGTGCTAACTAAAACGTAACATTAGCCCTTTTCTTTTAATTAGGATTTTTTATTTTCTCTACCACCTAAACTTTTTTTGCGAAATAAGAGAATGGTATTTTTTTCTAAATACATATTTAAACGTATGTAATCGTAGATAAATCTAAATGCTAGCATCTTAAAAAAAAGTTTAAGAATAAACGCGTGTAACTAGTGGTGGCATTACTTTAAACTATGAGATAGTAAAGCTTCCTATTTGTGAGGTGATACCCTAAAAATTTGTAAAACCCAAAATGCAGTCACTCCAAAATTATTGTCAGTTGATTTTAATCAATGGTCATGTGAATATTAAATTAAAAATTTCGTCCCTTCACTGGAATTTAATGTAGTATTAAATAACTCTTTTTCGTTTACTATAGTGTCTTTTCAAACAAAAAATATGTTATGGGTAATTTGGTCGTACACTGATAAAACTTAAATAATAGTTTGAATGAGAAATTAAATAAAATTAACCGGTACTTGTAATTATATTTTTAAATACAAGAGACACGCAGAATAAAACTTTAGAGAATTTTCACATCCTATAGCCTACATGAACACTTGAGGTTCAATTTCTTATAGCAACAGACCGAAACGTCTGCTACACTTAGAGAGCAGTCATTCTTTTGAACGAAAAAGAATGAGTGGAAAAACCTAGCTAAGCGGAACATAGCTAGACGTAAGAGGGCTAGGTAGTAACGAGGGTGCCCGCGGCGAGGTCGAGCTTGACGTCCGCGCGCAAGAAGGAAAAGTAGAAGATGAAGAAGAAGCTCGAGCTGAGTATCACGTAACGGCAACGAGTAGGAGCTGCTTTGGCGTCGGTCTTACGAACAATTGCGGTGGCAGCGGCAACAGCCGAGGAAACAATGGCAATAACGTGCATAATGATGATAAGGACAATAATAGTAATAATAACGCGCTCGCATCGAAGAGCTGACGATGAAAGGTCAAGCAACGCCTCCTCCAGGGGGGTGGATCGGGGGGTGGAGGCGAACCGACTGGTTACGGGCGGCAGTGCCCCCGGGGCTTGCGGCCCATCTCGTTGCCGTCCTCGTCGTCGTTACCGCCACGTTTTACCTCTGTAAAGCGCTCGCCTTTCACTGAGACTATCTTGTTGTCCAGGTAGCGCACCAGCTTCTTCGGCTCGGTCTTTGGCGCGACCGGTCGGTGCTCGCGTGAGTCGTCGTCGCGATCCACGTAACTGTAGCGATTGATTATACGTGCCTTGAGCTCCTCGTCGTTGACACGCTGTTTCCGCTGGCCGTTGGGCTGTTGACATTAAAAATCATTGTACGGTAATCGGCTGGGTAATTTTACAGTGTGCGTCGATAAAGGCTGAGCCGTTTGGATACTTACGGTGAGAAACGTGAGATTGCTGACGATACTTTGCCCGGCTTCTTGTCTGTGCAGGGCGAGCTGAGCTGCTTTTGCTATGTCACCTCCGGCAACGGCGAGGCAATGGCGAGCTTCTGCGGAGCTCGCTCCGGGAAACATTTCTTGCAGCAGTGCTACTTGGTCCCAGGAAGATTCCTGTATCGAGTTTACAATTGACCATATCAATGCACATGATCTTTTATATTTCAAAATATAAGAACGTGTTTATTCGCAAGGGTTAAAGCGTTAACAAGTGTAAGCATTCAGAACGACTTACTTCAGCCAAGTATTCACCACTAGAATCACTGCCAGCATCACTGGTTTCCGACAAGTGATGGACTCTAGTGGCTCGTTGAGGTTCAGGTAGTAACGCAGCTAGACTGATGCAACTCAACGGATCCGAGGATTGGGCATTGTCATTTCTTCCTTTGTTGTCCTCTCGAAGTTGACTTTCAATATCAAAGAGCCATTTGGTTACGGCTTCTTTTCCAATGGTTGAGAATTCAGGGAGACAGGCGGATACCATCTCACTTAATCCATCTACATCCAACTCATCTTCTACGGCACTTTCTTCCACCATGCTCACCACATATCCCAAAACAATGTCATCGATCAAGCTTCAAATAAACAAAAATGATAAATCGTTAATTTTTTTTACTATTTTGAATAGTTTTTTTATTGTTCCAAAACAGCATTCGAAATGGACAGAGTGAAATAGTATTGAACTATAAATTTAAAAGGCAAATTACTACGTATTTACTTAAATTTTTTGAAGCACAAACAAAGAGTTAAAAAATACATGATGTAATAAAAAATTTGTTTTCATGGTTAAGCAAAATTATTAAACCAAGTTAATTCATTTACTGTAAACAAATGTACAATTGAGAAATTACTTTAGTTGGGCAGCAGGTACTTGCTTCCTGACAAAGCTGAACAGAGACCTCTTCACCAACTCCTCTTTCTCACTCATTGTGCGATTCATCCTGTAAAAGAAAAACACCAAATTAATATGCACCTACAAGCAGGTAAGATAATTGACAGTGGTAACTACGCCAAGGGCTGTCACGTATTAATCCTTGATTAGTTATCAATAAACGCTGTCCAAATAAAGTCATGAACGGTTCTTGGTAGTAAAGTGATTCATTTTCAAAAAAAAATATAGAGGACAGATGGTTTAGGTGAGAGTGTGTGTCAAAACACAACAACAAAGCTCATCGTGGAGGTACTTTGCATCCCTGATATTTTACATCCAATACCAGACTCATGCTTTAACAAAGTTAACCAAGTGCTTGTATGTATGCATACAAACACAAAACTAAAAGAGAAAAAGGAGCTTACACTGAAAAAAAATTAATAAAACACCTCTACCTTTGCTTCACAACTTTTACGAATCATCGACTAAAGTTAGTTTTATTTGTATCTAATGTTTTCACTTCAAAGTTGAGTACCTGACTGGCAAGTAGATTGACGAATCCTGGCAGTGTATTCCCAAAAGTGGAGTATGCAAGTGCGAGAACTCTTACAATTAATACACCTATACAAAAAATATTACATCCTAGATTAACAACAGCAGCGAATCGACAAGCGACAGCGGCGGGGGCGAACGACCACCCCGACACGACCCCGAGGAAGCAACGCTCCCTCTCTTTTGAGTGTTCTCTATATCTTTCTTGGGTTGTTGCAGAGGCGATCGATTTGCGAGTGTTTCCGTCAACCCCCACAAGCGCGTTTGCGATGGGGCGTTAGATACGATATATACGTATATATTAAACAGGGCGCGAAGAACGAGACAGATGTATGTACTCGAAAGGGGGTGAGGAACAACCCCCTCGCGACCCAGGCATCAGATCGTCGTCCTCATAAAAAATAGAGATGCGAAGCGAGTACGAGCAAAGAGATGTGATGCATGATGCATGACACTGGTTGACCGTTGACACTCTGCTCTGCTGTTGTTTACTTGTTTATTTGTTGTGTTGTAAATATAGGGTTAGTTGTTTTGGTTTTGACAAGGAACCATCAAATGGTTCAATTTATTTGCTCGACCCTTTCATATAATAGATATATAAGTATAGTTGGGCATAAGTAAACTTAAGCCATGACAGACAGTAGGTAAGCCTCTTTGCCTCTGTATAAGAGCTGGTGTATGTACAAAAACGACCGTTAATCAGGATTTATATCCTAGAAAATCCCGTAATGAAAAGATAAAAAAAAAAAAAGCAACGAAAGCACGCAAAATAAATATTTTCAACAGCTCTAACCTGTCCGTCGCCGATAGGACGCTTAATTTTTGACTTTTTATTCTCCTGCAACGCTCATCTACGGCACTTTGTATTATATGGTACACATCATTGCAACAGCAGAGTTTCCGGATATCCGGATCTTCCGGGACACACACATTGCGGGGGCAGAGAAAACGCACGGGAGTCCCGATCCGACATTCAGGTTGCGGATGAAAAAGCAAATGCAAATGCAGGTCAACCGTTCAACGTCAACTCTGCGGTGCAAAATGACTAGGTATTTCATCAACAAAGCAGAACATAATATGGATTACAATCGGGTGTATATACATATGTAATATAATACAGATATACTTACACCGGTACAGTAAAAGAAACGATGAGTGATGTTTTTTTATCTTCACAGTGCATTTTCATGATACAAGAATCCGCGTCAGTATGTTCATCCAACATATTCGCCGTAAAGGAGCCAATTCATCCCATTTACTCACATAATTCAAATGCGTTCCGTGAAAAATCACCTTGATGTGTAATACTTGGAGCTCTTTTTTAAATAAAAGGTTCTCACATCTGACCTCATGAGAATATGGATAAGTACTCATAGCTTACAGCGCTATAAAAACTGTTACAAAAGTGCCATCACACATATCACGTCAGTTTTTTGCCAAATTAAGCCAAATCCAAAAAATCTTGATCAAATTGTAATCCAACCAAATTTTTGTTTCCAAACTACTTACGGCTAGATATTTTTGTCTTTGTGTATATTACAAGCCAATAAATTCCAGTTTATAAACTTTGAAAAAAAAGAATCGAAAAACCTAATTGCTGTTTTAATATGCACGATCTTGTCGCACACTTTTATAACAATTTTGACAATTGTTGACATTCGAAATTACCCGTACAGCATCCCCGATATCGACTTCGACAGCAACGATCGACAATCGATCAATAATCGTTTGTAACACCAAAATGGCGCCAACTTTCGACTTCGAGTCGTTCGACTCGGTTCCTCGCACGTGCTCGGCAGCCTCTTTCGTTGTAAGTGTCCACCATGGCTGTCGGTAAAAATAAAGGGCTGTCGAAAGGAAGTAAAAAGAGCCTCAGGAAAAAGGCGTAAGTGATCTAGATTGTTGTCCCCGCAATTTTTGATGTTTTATTTCGTTATATTTTGCAAATTCCAACTCTGCGAATTGGCGATGACTTTGATTTGGATGGATTCAACTTGAGCTGTCGGTATCGGCGCTCGACTTTGCTTGCCATACTTGGCTTGTTTTTGTGATTGTTTATGTGTACTTAATTTTAGTTTTAGTTTTTTTTTGTTCCATCAACCGATACTCTTTAAGTGACTATATTGTGTGATTTGTTTACATTTGTGAAATGTGCTGCTTGAAAAATGGTCAGTTATCATAACCTGTGTGGGCTTAGCTATTGGTTTATTTTTTTTATGTTAAATGCGAGAAGACGACGATTTGATGACTTGAAATTACTTTTGTTGGTCTTCAACTCGCGTAAATTACACGCACTCGCTTACCACATTACTGTTTCTGCTGTTGCTAGTAATGATACTTTGAGAAATGCCACATTTAATTTCTTAACTTAAAATCTATTATTTCTGAAAAAGGATTATAACGACGTAGGATCAAAAATGTTCTCAATTACATTATCTGCATTGTTGCAAAGTACATGTGTCAATCAGCTGATTTTTGCTTTGCAGTGTTGATCCTTTCACGCGCAAAGACTGGTACGATGTTAAAGCACCCTCGGTCTTCACTGTCCGGCAGGTCGGCAAAACTCTGGTCAACAGGACCCAGGGAACAAGTAAGTTGTTATTGCACACTTTGAATTCAGTGTTGAATAAACATTTGCAACTCCAGCTCCATAGCAGTGTTTTGATTAATTGCTGTGGCGTTTACAAGTTGCTAAAGTAAATTAAGTTTTTTAAATATGCCATTTGATTTTTTACAAGTGGCTTGATTAAAAACTTGACATATTTATTTATTGATAAATTTTTTAAAATTATTAATTTTTTATTGACAATTCTCCAATTACTTGTATAAAGTATAAGTAACATTTGGTATTGTTCACAGAAATCGCTTCGGAAGGTTTGAAGCATCGAGTATTTGAAGTTTCCTTGGCTGATCTCCAGGGTGATCAAGGTGCTGAAAGATCTTTCTGTAAATTCAAGCTCATCGCCGAGGATGTTCAAGGACGTAATGTCCTTACCAACTTCCATGGTATGGACCTCACAACAGACAAATTGAGATCCATGGTTAAAAAATGGCAGACCTTAATCGAAGCTGTAGTTGATGTCAAAACCACTGATGGTTACAGTTTAAGAGTATTCTGCATTGGTTTTACCCAAAAACAACCATTAAGCCAGCGAAAGACCTGCTACGCTCAACACTCTCAGGTTAGTTTTTTAAAAGATGATTGAACCCCATGTTTTATTCAGATCAAAAAACTTTAAAAGACGATTAGAACTTGCTCTATGATAAATTATACAATAAGTACTTTGAGAAAGTTGAATATTTGGGTATTAATGTATCCACGATTCATGATTCAAGCGCAAGATGACATTGGTCAAAATCCATATATTTTGTACTCCTGTTCTACTTGCGTAGATTAAATGCTTTCACTTACCACACTGCATGACAAACTATTCTTGCAGCGATATTGAGCATTGCGACACAAACAAAATCTTTGATGATAATTTATGTAAAGTTAAAAGCATCGATTTAAAAATTTTCATTCATGTAGGTGCGAAATATTCGCAGGAAAATGGTTGAAATAATCACCGAAAACGTTACCAAGAGTGATTTGAAAGGCGTCGTCAGCAAATTGTTGCCCGATGCTATTGCCAAGGACATTGAAAAGGCATGCCAGGGCATTTACCCACTCCACGACGTATGCATTCGTAAGGTAAAGTATTTTTCATTAGTCTTATCACCTCTCCTAGTTAAGTTTTCCCTTTACTGTTGAATTCTTGTAACATGTATCACTATAACATTCATTGTAAATAATAGAATACTATACCTAGAAAAGATGATACTTATTTGTTTTGTTTTTTTCTATTGTTATTCAGGTTAAGGTATTAAAGAAGCCCCGCTTCGAGCTGAGCAAGCTTCTCGAACTGCACGGCGATGGTGGCAGTGGCAAGAGTGCCGAAGGTGGTGAAAGTGGGTCCAAAGTCGATAGACCTGAGGGATACGAACCCCCAGTGCAAGAGCTCGTCTAATCGGACAATTGTTGATTCCATTTTATCATTTAATAAAAAAATTTGATCTTTGAAAAAAAAGCAACTGAATTTTTTTTTTTTTTTCCTAAGTTTTATTTTTATTCCATCCATGGTTAATGGTTGATTACCTTATCAACTTTAGTCAACGTTACAAAATTACAATTAAAAATATATAATACAAAGAAATTGATTTTCAATAGGAAAACAGATGGGAGAAATAGAACAGAAAGGAGAAAGAATTAAACTTAGATCCCTAACGTAGTACTTATTTTTCTGTTGGTCGTTTCAAAGAAAAATCACCCTGTTGTATTGTCAGTTACATACATGTACATTACACAACTGCATTCACAGTGAGGTACTCAATCGACTCATTCGATTGTCAAGATTACCTTGAGCAGCGAGTACCCCCTTTAATCATTTGGTAAATTTACAATTATAATATTCTAACAGGTAGTGTATTTCGTATTATCTCATCTCCTGAAATTAATTATTCATCTCGACAGATCTATAATAGACCTTCCCGGAAGTGTGGGTGCGATGTCGCACTTTACACCCTCGACAATTCAAATTCAAAATTTTATATTCCGTCCATCGTTCAAGTCTCGCAAATCTGTTGAATCTGTTTCAAAACGAAAGTATTGATTTTTATCCCAAACGTAAAAAAAGTTGCCATTTTTTGGTTTAAATTGTCATTTTGATAATACTAGGTGATCCCGATGATTTTGAGATATCAGAAAACTGATCTTCAAAATTTGATGAGTAATATCCATCCTCCTGATGCAAAACACACTCCTCATAAGTAATGAACAAAAATAATCATAGTTGTAATAATAATAATAATAATAATAATAATAATGAAACAATAAAATCATAAAATCATGGGACACGCAGTTAAGAAGTTAATGCCCGGTCGAGTATTTTCCAGCTGCCGACGATCAGTGACTTGAAGCTGTCGCTCCAGCACGCGAACATGTAGATCAGCAGCACGAAGAACATGATTTTCGTGAACACGTCGACCCAATACATCCTGGAACAAGCAATTTTTATTTCCCATTAATTGTTCGGTTAGCAAGAATCAACGTTCAATTTTTTTTCAAACATGATATCCGTTGGGCAACTTTACTCAACGAAGGACCGAGTCGGAAAATTTATTTACTCACACTCTCATGTGTCGTCGGGCGGCGGGTAAAGTTTCCGGCGGCTCGTTCAAGATGTATATTCGACAGGCCCTGAGGCAACTCTCGAAGTAATCGTCCAGCTGCATGTCATCGCCGTGCAACTGGTAAAGTACTCGTTCTTTCGCATTCAAACTGGACCGGAGTTCCGCTATGTTCGAGTTTTCAAAGTCCCATTGGTTGTTTGCGTAGTACTCGAACACCTCGAAGCCTTTTTTGATGCGCCGGTGGACTCGGCACATTCTGAAAGTTGAGCTCGTTTTACATTTAGTTGGGATCGGTAAAAAAAAAATTTTTTTCTTCTTGAATCTACTCTAATACATTTGGCAGTGGTATGGACGAATTAATATTATGAAACTTGATGATTACATAGTATCATTGAAGTTTGTTAGAATTATTTTTTGGCAATTGACCTTGAAAATCTATACCGAGCGTGTGTTTTCATTTTCCGAAAAAATGTTTTTTTTTTTTTTTTACAATCCCTGTACTCCAAAAATTTATACTACGTTGACTTCACCTAACGGTTGACTCAATTTGTTTTTTGTAAATAAATGCAAGAATCGTTTATAAAACTCCAAATTTAACATTCCAAAAAAAAACGCAAAGTACAAATGAAATGGTGCTTAGAGATGGAGAGTATTTCAGAAATTAACTATTTTATTTTAACATGTTGTAAGTAAAAATCTTAATTTTTATTTTTAATAAGCCAATTTTATATAATACTATTTCCAACCAAGAAAATGTTGTTATTACCCTGTATGATATAAACTCTAAATGGAATTGTAACGTAGGATATGTGTTATTTATTTATTGTACTTTTATCAGATACAAAAGTATCTCTCGAAATTGTTTTAAATTGATTTGTGTTTTGATGACAGGTTTTTAAGCAAACATTTAAAATATTTTATTGGAAAAACAATTTTTTTAATAACATTTCTGTTACGTCAAAATGTTTGGAATTAATTATCGAACCCAAAATATTTGAAATTATAATGCAAATGAATAAATTTGAAGACTTATTTTAAGTACTGAAGAACAACAAATATATCAAATGCTTGAATCAAGTACAAAAATTTTTGATTAAACAATTCTTAATTTATTTGATTAAGTTACCTGAAGTCAATTAAAGTTAAAAATTATTTTTAAAAAAGTGAAAACATTTATATTTGATCGAAGTATTGGAAATTAAATACACAAGATATCTTTTCTTGTACTTTTATCAGATACAAAAGTATCTCTCGAAATTGTTTTAAATTAATTTTTATTTTGATGAAAGTTCTTAAAGCAACTCTTAGATATTTCTATTTTACATAGCTCGATTAATTTTGCAGCAGGGTACTCTTATACGACCACGAAAGTATAAACTGATCGGATTACTTAGGCATGAACTGATATAAACATAATGGGCTACAATATGGATGAGTGTACAATTTTGACTATAACTAAACCTAGACTATGTTAATTTTTTTTTGCTATTTTTTTAAATTTTTGCAATGAACTGATTTTCATAATGTAACTATTGTTGATTTCGTAAAAAGTATAAATACATTTACGTACGCTAAACGTGGGGAAAAGGCGAATTTACGTACAACTTAATATACGTAATATCAAGGAGATTCTGTTAAAAAATAAAAAATGTTAGATAACGCTAAAAAAAAAATAACAAAATATGTGCCCGTGAATTAGTGAATACTTTTTTCCAGCCCTCCCCTCCAACTTCATGCACGGAGCCAATAAGGGGGGGAGGGGGTCAATAAGTAAGCTATATTCAAAATACCATTCAAATAAATCAAAACTTAAAAAAAAAAAAATTTCTTCTACTTTAAAATAACTCGATTAAAAATAAGTTGCCTTTTAAAAAAGAAGGGTCCAAAGTCGAT